AACCCCGTTTCGGGAAGTGCGTCGATACGGGCAGCCGAAGCGGTGCTCTTTTCTTTGAGGGTTTTAGGGGGGTCAGTCTCCGGAGGTCCTCCTCCACGTCGGACTCCTCCATCTCATCATCGGCCGAGATCAGGATCTAAATGGCGGAGAGGCATGGCCCTGAGTCATCACCAGCAGTGCCCTCTTTACCTGCCTGCCCTGGACCCCCGCATGGGATGGCAGCCTGTCTAGGAGGCCTTGAGTCTCAGGTTTCTTTAGAAGAGGATACAGGGAGGCTCCCTGTACAGAGAGAAACAAGCTTGTCCACCCCAGATCTCATTCACGCCAGATGCTTTCACAGGCTACCGACACCAGCACTGAGTCGAACACCTTCCCCTCCGCTTGCGCTCCCTGATTCTCACCCAGCCTCTAGCTGGGACTGAACCCCCATCAGAACAAACTCAGCCTACGGTCATTCTGGAAAAAAAGCCCAGTCTTGACACATGGAGTCCCAGGTCCCTGATGTTGTCTCTAATACAGCAAAAGCAAAAGTGAAAAGCCCTTTTCGAAAGAAAAAGACATCTGTGGGGCACATGTGAGGCAGAGTGATTTCAGAGTAGCTGCTCAGAACCAGCCTAGTAACTTCTGAAGACAAACAAGAGCCCTCCACTCTCTGAGCCCCCGGAACGCCTCAGCAGTGTAGCCAGGGCATCTGGGCAAACACTCACCCACTGCCCACACGCCTGGCTCCTCAGACCCCAGAGCGCCAGGGAAGGACTGGGACAGCCCATGTCACGATAGAGAGGCCCAAGGCGCACCTGTGCAGGGGGGCTCACTCCACTCCAGGACGGGGCGGTCTCACCACCGCTCACTGCAGGGCTTCCTGCCTCTAGTCTCTGTCCCCAGATTAAACACTCTCTGGCTCCCTGCTGCCTGCACAAGTGCACCCCCATTCCTTGCCCTGGATCACAAACACCTTGCCCAGTGAGCTCAGATCTTTGCCTGTACCTACTTCTTGTCTTTCCCTCCCAGCTTTCAGAATATACGCTGCTCTGGCCACAGCGAATGTCACATTATCACCCAAACACCAAACCACATGACCCGATTGCTCAGGAGCGGCTGCTTCTGCCTGTAATGCTGTTTGTCATTCACCTCATGTTCACTGCACTCTTCCAACATGACAGGCCCCATGCCAGATTCTAGGACCACCTAGAGAAGGGATGGACTTCCCCTCTGTCCTCCATCTAGTCGGCTTTCAAAGCTCCCTACAGGACACCCCAGGAGCTAAACAGATTGCTCCAAGCCCTTTCAGGGCTCTGTCAGGACTCATCGCAGAGGCTACAGGGGGCTGCTCAGGCTTTCGCCTTCCTCATCCACAAGCCTGAAGGCCTCTCTTGGAAGACGTCACCTCAGCCGTTCTGCAGCCCCGACCCAGTGCAGGTGCAGAGTGTGTGCTGCGGACTGACTGGGACACACCATCTTGCCTCCAGGCTCCCATTTATGACCACCATCCTCTCTGAAGTCCAGACCTCTGAGCTTAGGAAACTTGAAAATACGGGGAGAGGGGGAGATGAGCTTCTCCCTGGGAGGTCTGGCCACACCTACACTTTAGAAGTTTCTAGCTGGCTTAGCCAACACTTCCCTTGCTCCTTAGCCATGGGGCAGGGATTCAAATGCCTTGATGCTTGAAGGTCGACGATCAGGCCCATGCGTCTTTGACAGCTCCCCCAGAACAAGGCAGCTCCCACCTTTCTTGTCTTTCTCCATCGACAGATGGACTGTTGGAGGCAAGCCACCCCCACCTGATGCTCCACATCCCTGCTGGAGGAATGGGTTCCCGGCTGGATGGCATCTGTCAGCCTCCTTTCCCTCCCGCCAGCCGGCGCTGGGACTCAGCACTCAAGAGAAGGCCAGACGCAAACACAAGACCAGAGGCCTCTGGGGTCAGTGGCACGAGGGCCTGGCCCTACCTCAGACTCCGACTCCTCGTGGGATGCGGCCCTTCGGTAGCGGACCTTGCTCCCATTCCTTGAGTCCTGGTTGGCTCCCCTTTCTTCTAGCTTAGCTTTCGTCCTCCCCTTTCTCATGAGGAAATTGTCTACTACCCAAAACATCAAAGCCTGTGGGAAGGAAGGTGCAGGTTAGTCTGAGATGAGCCATTTGTGAAAGCAAAGCAGAGCAGGCCCCACATCCAACCCTCCCACCCCCGTTCCAGATCACAGCATCTAGAACCAGGGAAGGGAAAACCTCATCTGGGCCCCTCGCTCTATCTCAGAAGTCTAGGAAGAGACTCCCAAACTCTAAGTCCTTTGCTTCTGTTTCATCCTAAGGGGTTCTCTGGTGGTGACTGATGACGACAGCTTGCCCCAGCTGCTCCAGCAGCTGTCAGAGTGGGGCCTGAACCAAGGTCTCCAGACTCCTGGTGGGGCTCCTTCCCTGGGCCGAGCGGTCGGTAGGCACACCCCACCACATCTATCAAACCCAGGTTCTTCTACCATTTCTCATCTAATTTCCTAATTTCTAGCCAGTGTGCTTCTGAGTCTCTCTTGAAGCCCTGTGGTCAGGAATAAATGATGGGAGTGAGTCCCTAATGATCTTAATCTAGAAGTCGCTGTTACATACAGGGTGGGGCTCCTCCTCAGCTCCTCCTCCCTGGCAGGGAGGACCCTCCATGCTGCACAGAGACCCTGGAGCAGTGATCTGCCTGTTGAGGAAGTGATCCTGCCATTTCCAGGTCTGGGGTGGGAGGAGGGGGTGGCAAATGCTCACACGGAGGGACCTGAGGGCTAGAAGTGTTTTCTCTGTCAGACTCAGAGCTGGACAGGAACACTGGAAGGCAGGGAGCAAATGGGGGTAAAAATGCAACAAGGCACTGACATTGACAAAGAAGGGGACGATCAGCATGACGATGGCCAGCTTCAGGTCTGGGTTTTCAATGGGGTTCAACAGGGCCACCTGTGAAGAGAAGGAAACTCAGTGAGGTGGGGGGAGACTACAGAGAAAGTGCATGGGGGTAGGGGCAGCAGGGGAAACCGCCCACGAGGCCCTGAGAGGGGGCTTAGATTACACACTGCCGTGGAGCGCTGATGAGAAGAGCACTTCACACCCAGAGCCGCACAGTCCCCAGATCTGCCTGCTAACGAGGGACCCCTTGGACACTACTTGGAGCAGTCAGTGTTCTAGCAGCTTTCCCTGTGACTTGAGAAGTGAAGAAGGGTGAGGGGATGAAAGGTGGGAAGCACTTTACAAAGCAGGGCCCTCCGCCCGCTGGAGGCACAGGGTGGATGGAGTGGGGGCTTTGGAGAGTCTAAGATAGTGAGGTTGGTGGACGCTCGTTACAGATACTAGCAATGAGGCACTGACCACTTTTTAACAAAAATACCACACCCAACCACCTTCTGAAGGACTACAGCTCCCCAAAGCCTTGGCTTATTTTCTTAAAAAATAAAACTTGGCCACAAATAAAACCAAAGCAGGGCAAGATCTGAGCTTCTTGTTCCCAAAGGCTCTTTGGCTAGTTTCCTGTGGGTGGAGGCTTATCTACACAGCCATGGGGCCAGAGGACAGTGCCAGGGAACCGTGGGAATGTGTGACAAGCTGCTGCCTGCAGCACCAAAAGGCTCCATTAAACCACTGGCCAAGAGAGGTGTGTGAGGAGGCTGTTGGCAAGTGCAGAGAACAGTCCTGACACTTACAGGCCTGAAGTCTCATAATACCAGACCGTAAGCAACCCCAAGGCAGGGACTGTATTTTCATGGGCTTTAGATACACCGAGGCTTAATCTTAGAGCAGACACATGTGTAACTGAAGTGGATGAATGCTGCGTAAAAAACTGACAAGTTACTGCTCTTGGTAGGTGGCCAGTAGCTGTTCCATCGGATCAAGTCCAAGTGTACTTCATGGAGTTAAAAAAAAAAGGAACCATTTTGTTTCCCAGTAGGGACCATTTTTGTTTCCCAGTAGGGTTAGGGTTAGTTGGCGGGGTGGGGGGCTGTCTTGCTTAGCATCTAGAGGAGCTGAGAAAGAAGGGAATAAGAGGCAAACCTTTTTCCACTGAAGTATTAGGAGGATGATGAAGACGACAGATTTTTCAAAAATCATGATCACGATGTAAAGAGCACACTGCCCGACCCAGGCTCCGCACTGCAGAGGGTCTCCTGCAGGGACGGCAGGCTTGGTCATGTAAGGGCCCAGACATCAATGCCCCCACCGCTGCCCACAGCTCCTGTGAGCCCTCACACTCACCTCACCCCAGAGATACTAAATACGCCCTCCAGAACACCAAGAATCAGCTCAGCCCAGACAGACAAACGTGGGTGCTTTAAGCAAAATCAGAGAATTCCTAATTTGGAGATACCAGAGTGGCTTTTCTTTTAAGAGATTCTAAGATATAATTACAAAGCACTAAAGTTAGTAAGTGCCCATTGCTGGAACTCAGAAAAGCTGGCTCGTCTTGTCCACTGGCAGCCAAAGCTGTGTGAAGCGAGATTGCTATTATTATCTGTTGTTGACTTTTCCAGTGGCTGTGGTGCTACCCATCCTTTCCTGTCCAGGAGCACTGAGGTTTTTGAATTGCGAAGGCAGCAAACCACCTCTTTGTTCATCTCCCACCCCACTCCCCACCCTCATTCCTGCTGCCCTCAACCCTGAGAGCAGTAATCTGGTTCTGGAGGAATTCAGATTCTGTCTGGGGGGTGGGGCACCCCAAATACCCTAGGCTGGGGACAAGGAAGAAGAGAGGAGCCCTCCAGGCAAGCAGTAAGGGGCTGAGACAAAGGTCCATCTGTGATCCCATCAGCCACAACGCTTGCGAAATGGAAGAGCCCAACAATCCACGCTGGGGGACACTCAGGCCCTCAAGTGCCTCCAAGGTGTTTCCAAAGGGACTTGATGAAGGGGTGGAGGATCAACCCCTCGAGGGAATGTCCTACATTCTCAGTGACAGGCAGAACCCATGGGACGGGTTCCTGGGGAGCCACACGTGCCTCCAGAGCAGATGACCAGTAGGGTTGGGGGAGCCACCAGGGGCTGGTCTGGGCCAGAAGAGGGGCTGGAGAGGAACACTGTAGGGGCGCAGAGACCCAAAGTTCAGGCCATGAGGACCATCTGACCTCAAGAGGAACCTCCAGCTTCTCGTTCGATTCCATGGTTTCTGCAGCAACCCCTGTCCAGGCACGGGTGCTGGAGGCCCCCAGCCCTGCCTGAGCTGCCAGCTGTACGCAGTGGAGGCCTACTGGATGCCTTCCTGCAGCTGTAATGGACACAAGCTCAGGCCATTCCCTTTTCTGGAAAACTTGAGAGAGTTGCACAGAAAGCATGCAGAGCGGTACCACTGCCTTTTCTGCGCTGATCTGTTTACTTTCACTTCTGGGATAAGACGCATCTGAGCCAAAGTGCCATTTCAGAAAAGCAATCTCTCCTAGCTAGATTTTTAATGAAGTTTTGTAATCCTTTCAGTAAACAACCTGACATTATTGAGAAAAGTTCTCAGGAATAACAGATCGAAGTCCTTGTTAAAACCGTTAAATTGGGGGACAGCCAGTCAGAAGCACTCATAGGACGTTCTCTCTGAACTGGGACTAGCGTGTTTAAAAGTCAACAGAACGAATGGTAATACGTTTAATATCAGAAGAAAATCTACTTGCTTGGAGTGCACTCACTCCATTTGCTCGTAGTTTTAGGGTGCTGACAGAAGAGGAAAACAGGTTTTCCTCCCGTCGACCTCCCGCTGCCCTGCTGCGTCTCACTGCTCTGAGCTGCAGAATTCCTGCTCAGCAGCAGCTGCCTCTTCTATCATTAAATGCCTAATAAAGTCCAAAGTAAGTCATGCGACACCGCTTTCATACCCCATGTCCTCCTGCACGGCCGGGGCTGGAGTGACCACACACGTGCTGGTTTGTTTCACGTGAGAGTCTTTCTAACATTCCCCACGGTCTCACCTTTGAAGGACAGACAAGCCAGGCATTCTAGTGTGCCCTGCTTTTTACCACACCAGACACCCTCAGGTACGTGGGCATTTGTTTTTCTTGGATTATTTCCTCAGGATAAATCACGGGGATGGGATCAAAGGGACGAACACGTCTGCATCTACAGGGGTCTCCAGAGGGGTCATAAGGACAGGGACAGGTGGTAAAGCCCACACACACAGATGCCCACAGCACAGAGACCCTGCCTTCAGGGCTTCCACACAGGGAGAGGGAAGAGCAGCCTGGTCTTCAGACTGCAGACGCCACGTACCACCTGGACCCTCCATCGCCCCTCAGGGCTGTGTGGACTTACTCCTCAAGTACCAGGACCTGTTAGCAAGTTCACTTTCTCTTCTAGGAACCATGGAAGCACCGAAAAAAACCCTCTTCTTCACTCACCTGAGAGGAGAGCTATGGGGTCTGCCTAGAACTATTGCCTCAAGCAGACGGGCCAGCTAGCAGGAGCAGTAGTTAGACTAATGTCCGCATCCTAATCCCCACAATCTGTGACTAGGTAGGTAACGTGGCAGAGGGGAATTAAGGCTGCAAATGGACTAAGGTTGCTAATCTGCTCACTCTAAGACAGGGAGCATATCCTGGAGTATCCAGGTGGGCCCAGTGTAATCACTTCAAAGTGGAAGGACATGGCAGAAGGTCAGAGTGATAATGACGTCAGATAGACTCAACCTCTGTTGCTGGTCCTAAAAACGGAGGAGGGGCCAAGAGTCAAGGAACATCGTCAACCTCCTGAAGCTGGAAAAGGCAAGGAAGTGGATTCTCCCATTTGAGACTTCCAAAGGAACCAGTCCTGCTGACATCTTGATTTTAGTCTATGACACCCATGTCCGACTTCTGAACTACAGAACTGTTAAGGTGATAAATTTGTGTTGTTTCAAGCCACTAAAATTTTGTAGTAATTTGTTATAGCAGTTATAACAATAGAAATTGATAGAAATAGAAACCAGGTAACTGAGGACATACACTATCCTTCCTCAGCCTGGGGAGGGAGGACTATGGGTGGTCCTGGATAGAGGGCAGCTTCATCTGGAAACACCCTGGTCTGAAGACTCTGGTTCCCAAAGGCAGGGGTGGGATGACCCAAGGGCAGGGACCGAGGCAGGCTACGTGGATGGAGAGGGTGGCATGGAAACAAGAGGCTCAAACAACCACTGCCTTCTTCCTTTCAATCTCTTTGGGGACACAAACAGAACATGCTGGAAATAGGTGGTATCACAAATGCTCGGTGTATCAGGACCAGACTCAGTGGATGATCTCCACTCCCAGGTCACCAAGTGACATGGCTGGCTGTGCATGCGTCTCCTGTGCACTAGTCAGCTACAGCTGAGTTGAGAGCCCTGCCTTCCAGAAGGGATCTTATCAGCAAAGAAGAAGCTGTGAGCCCTGTTTCTGGAAATGGTGGGAGGATCGGGTATCCCAGCATAGCAGCCAAGAGGCCCTCCAAGCTGTGTACTGTCTGGGTGAGCTTCCTGCATCACTTAACCCCTCTGGGTGCTTTTTCTATAAATGAGGATGATTCCACTTTGGTCCACGTGTGCCGTGGTCCATTTCCATCCCTCAAGCTGAGGAGTCAATGACTTGGAGCCTCTCCAAAGCCTTCCTTGGAGCCACAGGAGCACATACCGTGTGTTGGACACTATCTTAAGTCAGTGACTCATGAGGCATCAAGTAACGAGGCTAAGAAAAGCCCTCTCCTGAGCTCATCTCCCCTCAATGGAGACAAACAATTACTTAAGAATTCTAGAAATACCCAAGGCACTCACAGCCAGCTCCCCGAACCAGCTCCCCTTTTAAATATCAGTCCCTTGGTGGTCTTCAGCCATGTAGGCGTAAGCAGCCATTGGGCCCAGAGCCGTGAGCTCTCTGGGACGTGTGACCAGGAAAGGAGAGCAGGGACCAGAACGCTCCCTTCTGTCCCATGTGCCAACTTTATGGCAAAGGCTCCATCGATGCTATTCCCATGAACAGGAGCTCCAGGCTCCAGGTAGCAGAGCCTGCTGTGAAGTGGCAGAGCAATAAATTCCCAGAGGGCAGCAAGGCCCAAAGAAGCCCCTCTCACCAGCAGCCCCGCTGAGGCCACATCCACCATTTCTCTGGGGGTACAATGTAAAAGCCACTGCATTTGGCAGCCTCCTACCCACAGTGTACCCCATGGGGTCTGGCAAGATTGTATGGGTCAAACCTAGTTCAAAGCTTCCATGAGTCGCTTGTTTTAGGCCATGCTTCTGGGAGGGAGGATGCACCTGGTGTCTCTGGTGACCATATATGCCAGATGCTGGGTTGGGGCGCCAGCCCACAGTCAGGAGACAACAAGGTGACTTCGCCCCAGGGTGGAGGAATGGACCCTCGTCCTGACCCTGTGTGCCCCAATAATGGAATGGCCCAGCAACAGGACAAGCACAGACATGCAGCAGAAAGTGGGGCAGTTTCCTACCAAGTACCTCCCAAACCAAGAGTGGCTCCCATCTCTCTGGCGAGGTGGGCAGAGGGTGACCCTGGTGAGAAGTGTGGCAGCGGAAGGTGGCCTGACAGCCCTGCAGGTGGGGCCACCAGTGCTCTGTGGTGGAAGAGGCAAATGTTGTACCCCCTCCCTGCATCAAGGGAGCCTTGGCAGTGAGGTGGGCACCCACCCACCTCAGCCATGTGGCAGGAGGATGGAGCTCGGGCCCTAGAACCAGTCCCTCCACCACACAGAGGACACAGCCACCAGCTCCTAAACCTTCTTTGAACCTACTGGCCTAGAGGGCTACATGCGGCAGAAGCAGAGCCCCCTCCAGGAAGTCTGTGGTAAGTTACCGTATTCGCCAAAACGCAGGGACTCCCACTGCTGCCACTCCACCAAGACACTGACGGCACGCACGCCCACGTAGATGAGCAGCATGCCCACAGTGGCATCCAGGAGGAAGTTGATGAGGTACCTGTGAGGAGAGGGCATGGGGGCACTGTTAGGAAGCACCACCGGGGCCCCCACCAGGGAGCTGGGTTCATGTGCTTCCAGAGCCAAGGTCAAGGCTAGGGACCCAGCACTTTGGTCCTGGGGAGGCAGGAGCCTCAGGTGGGCCTGTGAAGGGGGCTTGTTTCCGGGAGCCCAGAAGGCCTCCTCCCCAGGACAGTGCACTGACACTCGTCAGCCTGCACAGCTCGAAGGGGTGGGGGATCGACAGGGAAACTTGAAAAGACCTCAAGCGTTCCTGCCAAATGAAGCTGACACAGAGTACCTGGGTGCAGCCAAGGAGGCTTTATGGGAAAGCAGAACTTAACCGATAAACAAAATCTGTTCAATGACTGCTGACTTCCTGACGGCCTAGGCTTCCCAAGGTCCTGAGACAGTGCTGCTGCACCAGAGCGGCTCAGGAAATGGCCTGAGGTTTCTAAGACTCAAGAGGGCAGGGCTACATGCCCTCGCTCAGCCCCCATCTTTCAGAGCTCCTCATGGAGGTCAGTGCAAGTAAACATCTCTCAAGAGAGAGCTTAAACCCCAAGAGAGAAGGCAAGATTGGAGAGCAGAGAGGGTTGGAAGAGCACACCCACCCTGACCCCCCATTCCTGTGGGGTCTGTTTCCCTCTGTCCCACACACACCCCTTCCCTCGCCAAGGAAAGGCCTTTGCCCACTGGCCCTGCTGCGAAGACTCTCGCTGGGTACCGCTCCCCACAGGTCTAGCTCTCCAGACAAGGCAGGAGACACACAGGCCTGGGGTCTGATGTCAGTCCTCCAGGACACCACAGGGCTCAGAAGTTCTGGATACCACAGCCAGACCTTTTGAGTTGCTGAGGCCCTAGACCCACTGCCCCCACTCCAAGGTCTGGCTTCAGTGACGCACACAGTGCTCTGGAACCTGAAGGAGCACCTCCACTGTGCTCACGGTCCTGCCAAAGCCCTGGGGCGGCAGGGAAAGCAGACAGAAGGGATGGCCTTTTCCTTCCGCCTGTCCTTCCTCTTTAAAATCACAAGGGGTCACTCTCATTCCAGAGACTGGAGACCAAAGAAGGCACAGCAACCGCTTCCCAGGCAGTTTCTCCAAGTTCAAGGTCAAGCTCTGGCCTTAGGCTAATATTGCTCTCAGATGCTTAAATCATATTGGCTTCAGGTGGTTCTGACATGAGGCCTGTTCTGAAAATATCAAGAACATCTCATATACACGCCTGCATTAGTTCATTCATTCCCTTATCAAACACTGATTTAAGCCTACTGTGCGCCAGGCCTTGGGAATGACGACAGAAAGTTCTAGACCCTGTATTCAACACAGGTGAGACTGGCAGACAACAGGGCATCATGTGGGCCCCGGGGCCAGATCGGCTGGGTTCAAATCCCAGTTTCATCACTCTTGAGCTGAGTGAGTGTGATTAAGTTATCTAACGTCTGTGCCTCAGCCCTCTAACTGTAAAATGAGGATAATCAAAGAAAACTGCAGGGCTGTTAAGAGGAGGAAATGAGTCAATGCACCTGAACAGTGACTGCCACGCAGTAAGCTATACGTGTCAGAACCATAGCCCCTCAGACATCACAAAAGCTGAACTCCCAGTACAAGGGACGGCTGCAGCCACAGGAAGCAGTTTGCCCCACTCTGGTTGTAAGCTTCCCCTCTCCCTGAACTGACTGGGGCTTCCCTTCTAAGTCTGCAGACTCCCAAGATGCCCCAGGTCCAGCCCAACCCTTTCCATCTGTAAAAAGTCACAGGGCACAACAAGGATGGTGGAGCTGGAGTGGATCTCAGTGCAGCACTGGCTCTTCCACGGGCCAGGACCTCTCCTGTCTGCGGAGCAAGGCCTGCCCTGCCTTCCGAGTTTGCCCCCAGCAGCTCTTCAGCCACTGCTGGAGCTCTCACGTCTTTCCTAAGTTTTAACGACAATACCCTCTGACTGAGCTGTTAACCTCTTCGTTGATAAGTGCCCTATGGCTTCCAACGGTGCAGATGCTCATCATCCTGTGAAACCTTCAGGTCATCCTGGGGATCTGGCAGGACACACAGGACAGATGAGGAAACGGAGGCTCAGAGACGTCACGCCGCCTTCCTGCAGCTGGACCTTTCAGTTGGGGGCTCCTTTCACCACACTAGCTCCACCTTGGGCCTCTTCTCTGGCTGAGCATGCGAGACTGTCAGCAGCCCCTTCTCCATCCCCCAGGATTTGTCAAGCCCCCTTAGAGCCAGATCATCTTCTTTTTGCAGATGGGCAATGGAGGCGCACAGGGAGTGGAGTGGCCAAGATGGCTCCAGGAGATAGGGTTCCTCACCTCCGTGGAGCAGCTGGACCTCAGCCTATCTCGGTCAACCAAGAGGATTCACCAGTGATGATGCAAGCTTGCTGCTGGACTCAGGGCTGGGAGGATAAGGCCCCTTCCTAATCATCTCCCTTAAGGGAGGATCCCTCTTCCAGTCCCCGGCTTTAGGATCATACCCAAATAGATCAAAACTACCCACGTCTCAAGGAAAGACCCTGGGGAGGGAGACTTTACAACTTCTTTCTGAATCTGGGCCTGGACCAAACCTCAAAATGGTACACTGCCACCAAACAAGAGAAGCTTAAAGGAATCTTCCAGTCCAAATAATCTTAAATATACACTAAACCTCTTGGCAAGGGACTCACCAGACCGCTGCCCCTCTCTACCTCAGAGGCTGGAGGGCATTCCAGGCAGAGGGCAGTGGGAGCAAAGGCTCAGAGGCAGGAGACAGCCTGTGGGGTTGAGGGCCACTGGGAACAGCCTGGCATGGCTGGAGCACCAAGTTTGAGCCAGGAAGGTAGCAGATGGAGCCAGGATAAGGCAGGTACTTTTCCACTCCATTTGCTAAGAGGGGCTCTTTGGGTGCTGTTAGCAAGGAGGACAGGTATCATGACCCAAATGGGGTCTGAGGCAGATGGCTCCGGGGGCTGTGTGGACAGCGCATTGATGGCATCGACAAGTGGAACAACCCACAGTCCTCAGGTAAAAGAGGCTGACGGTGTCAACAATGGCTTGGACCCTGAGTGGCTGACACCACAGAGAAGCCCTCATATGTCCTGTTCCAGCACAGGTGATCCTTCAGGATGTTATGCTGCCCTGCCAGGGGCTGCTTCGAAATAGGGAGAGACAAACTTAGGTTCATCAGCAGAGAGCCAGTGTACCGGGCAACTGTCACCAAGCAAAGCCTTAACACTCGGCATGCACACTATCTCTCAGAGGAGCAAAGGGGACAAAGGGGAATTGCCCCCTCCCCAAGCTAGATGGAACATGACTAGAGGAGCAGGTGATGATTGCACTCAAATATGGGCCACTTACAATGAACAAGGGTCCTCTTCAGTGAGATCTGCTAGGTACACATTTGCAAAGTGGATGAACAGCATTCCTATGGCTTGTTTGGAAGTGTCTAAAAACCTGTACAGAATAGAACCAGCACTTGTTACCACTCTGACAGAAGGGTCATAACCAATTTGGGAAAATGTTAAATCTGAAAAAGGAAAAAGAAAAGCCACTGGGGAGACCCCAATCTTCCAATTACCAGTCACCTCTTCCTGGGGCATCAGTACTAACTCAGGCTTGGCATTTCAGCTACCTTTCAAAACCTTCAGTAACACCACGAGCCTGAGAGGCCACTGATTAATAACACAGACTTAAACACACTAAACACATTTAAAGTGTGTTTTTACTTTCTCGTTTTTTTGTTACTTCAAAACAAAATGCTTGATCACAGCTTTGGATGATGTCCAAGGTGCCTCTACTTTAAAGAGCTCCCACCCAACTTTGTGCATGAGCTGAAAGATGTGTAGGACTGAGGAGACAAGGACGGGCCCAGCACCGCCCATGGGACCCTAACAACCTTCACCTGCTGCCGTTTAAATAACAGGCTGGATCAGGGGCAGACATACTTTTTCGTAAAGCGTCAGAGAGTAAGTATTTCAGGCTTTGTGGGCCATCGTCCTCTGCCACCATAGTGTGTAAGCAGCCAGTCACTAGCATCTCACTAACACTTTAGCCATGGAGACAGACACTGGCCAGACTGGGCCTGTGGGATACAGTTTGCCAACTCCTGTGCTAGAGGACAGGGGTTTCAAAAAAGATAAAACAAGGCTGTTAGTCTTTGGGATACCCTGTCCCCTATCTACGGGGCAGGAGCATCGTGGAGATGGCATGGGCCCTCTATTTCTCCTCTGCCGTCACACCTGGGGACCACTCACAGTCCATGGCCCAGGAACCTCTGGATTTTGGCTACCACTCTCAGCCACCCAGGCTAGGCATCCAGAGTTGGGCCAGGCCACTGACAGGAGTGAGGAAGGGGCACACAGGCATGGGGTCTCAGGGCTGGAACGGGCCTTAGAGATGATACAGACCAACCCTGTGATCAAAGCCTGAAAATGATTTCCTCAAATCATGGCAAAGTAGGAGTCACCAAAAGGGACCACGTGTAAAACCCGACTCTGGGTCCTCCCAGGTCCCCCGCCCAAGCTAAATACTCAGGCTTGAGAGAAACCAACTGTGGGAAAAGAAAAATGAAGATGATCAACATTCAGAAATAAAGAACTGAAGATCAATCAACAATACGCTTAAAATTTTATAAAGGGGCCTCCATCACAGAGATTTATGGGAAGTTTCCTCTGAAGGGAAAGTGGCTAGATGGGTGCAAGGATCATGCTGTCCTAAGGAGCTGGCTGTCTCCCTCTAAGTGATTTACTCTGGGGAGTTTTGTCTTTGGAAGCTATGTCTGAAGCTGCTTTAACCACGATTTCTATGAAGGAAAAACTGCCGCCCAAGATCATCCTAGGACCAAAAAGACTAGTTTTGGGGAGAGGAGCATTAACATGGTACAGCTGACTCATCTCCAAATTTAGATTATTTTTTTGTTTACACACATAGACTACAGAATCCAAGGATTTAACATAGTCTAACAACAGGGAGACATGACTAAGGAAGCCTGCAGCATGGACTGATGGATCTGTATTACCTTCTGTCTTCTAAAACTGGACAGTAGGGTGATGACAGACTCACTGCCACATGGTTATCACTACCACTCAACAGTTACCTGGACGAACAGAAGTGCTTTCATATTACACAGTCCCACAGTCCCTGATGATTAATTTGACTAATGGATTCCAACACTTTCTGTGTAACTGCTCACATTCCATCCCCTCAAAAGCCCAAGGTAGTCAAAAGCATTCTAGGAATGAGTTAATATTCAAATACACACCATATCCTCCACGGACGTCTTTCATGCTTTGGTTCTCTGAAGCGTTTAACTGAAAGAAAAGACAGATAATCAGTAGCTTTGCACAGCAACAGCAAAGCAAAGTGCATTTAACAAGCTAGGGGTTATCACTACACTTGGCGTTTATACTGATGTCTAGGTAGGTACGTGCTCTTTTAACATGTGACGATGTACAATAAGTCATGAAGGTCACAGAGGCCCTGTTGCTACTGACCAGTATCGACTCTTCAGAACTGGACACTTAGGAAGAAGGACTCTACATAGTGCATGCAAAACTATTTTTTTTTTTTGTGACAAGGCTCTCTGAGAGGGACTGGAAACCACAAAGGGGAATGTACCTACTTCTAACTTCAGGATCCAATGACAAATCCATCCGTCCACCCACCCAAACGTTCGAAGTACTGTTGGGGGGCAGGGGCAGACACAGAAGCACGCGTGTGGCAAATGCTCAAGGAGAGAAGCCTAAGGCAGAGCAAAGGCACAGGGAAGGCTAACAAGCCTGGAGGAAGGGCACCCACCAGTCAGGAGAGGCTGCCATGGCGGAAGTGGCTGGGCCAGGTCCTGCAGGCTGGGGAGAGTTTAGTAAATGGACCAGGGAGGGGAGAGAAGACATGTTCCGGACAGAGCACACACCATGAGCTCATGGGTCCAGGGACATAATGTGGCAGGGTGTGTGTGTCGTGATTTGATTTGGCTTTAATACAGCAGGTAACAAGGGAAACAAATGGCGCAGGGGCCACATGAGGGTCCTCAGTGCCAAGCCAAGTCTGGGATGAATCCTGCAGGGGAGGAAAAGCCAGAGGAGAGCACTAAACAGTCAAGAACATAGGTGGAATGGTGGAAAGCGGCTCTGAATCATGTAGATGGTGGGTTTGGGGTGAAGAGGACTGAGCAAGGATGCTGGCATCCTGGCACCAGGCAGTGGAACTCCCAGCTACATAACAGTGGGGGTTGGGGGTTGCCCACTCAGCAACGGCCTGAAGACACTGGACAGCAAAGGGCTCCCCAACTGACATTTAAACAGAAGGAAACAAGTTTCTAAGTGTCTTGTCCTCCACTGAAGTCCCAGGCAGACTGTTTGCAGAACAGCTCTATCTACTAAAACCATGATAGCGCCACAGGTGTGATTTTTTCCCACACAAAAGTACTGAGAAGAAACAGACAGAATGGCAGCAGGCAAGACCTGACATTTGGCAGACCCCCAAGCTGTGATGAGGACGCAGGAAGAGGAGGGAGGTAGGGAGGAAGAAAATGGTGCCCAAATCAATAAACCCCACTTCTCTAAATAAATACAGGCAGTCCCCGGATTGCAGAACAAGAACTGTCTATACACCTAAATGAAATGTCTGCTGTCTGCTGGGGGGAGGGGGAGAGAGAGAGAGAGAGCGAGACTAAGAAGCAGGTGAAATTGTGAGAAGGTCTGTCATTCTGCTGACCCATGACACAGCCAAAACATCAACAAGACCAAAGGATCTGGAGTTGAGGCCCAGAGTCCCACTCCCCCAAATGGCTCTCAAGGCAGGAAGTCTCCTTCCCCAGAGCATCCAAAGCTCGCTAAGGGGCTGGGGGCTCAGGAGGGAGATATGAAGGTACCCGGGCCAGGACAAAGCAGTCTGGAGGGAAAGAACCCCAGCGGGGCTGAAGCCACTCCTCATGATGGGGAGTCTGTCCCCATCGGCATGAAATAGGACATCAAAACATAACCCAGGGAGAACATCCTCATTCTTAGGAGACAGATGCTGAAGTACCAGGGTGGGTGCAATTTACTTTCAAATGGTTCAGGGGATATGTACAATTATATTATAAATGGCATAGTCTATAAATAATTACATTATAATTATAAATAACAAATACAACAAAGTAATTTCATAATACATCTATTATTTACATTAACATGATACATATTACAAAAAGAAGCAAATGTAGTGTTATGGGCCAAACTGTATCTTCCCCACATCACCCCCTGGCCAATTCATACGGTAAAGCCCCAATACCTCAGAATGTGACGATTAGCAGACAGGGCCTTAAAAGAGGTAATGAAGGTAAAACGACGTCATATGGATGGGCCCTAATCCCACATGAATGGTGTCCTTACGAGAAGAGGACACACACATACTGAGGGATGACCACGTGAGGACACAGTGAGAAGACCGTGGTCTGCAAGCCAATGAGAGAGGCCTCAGGAGAAACCGAACCTGTTGACACCTTAACCTGGGACTTGCAGCCTCCAGAACTGTGAGAAAATAAATTTCTGTTGTTTAAGCCACCTATTCTGCGGTACTTTGGGACGGCAGCCCCTACCACACCAATACATGTGGCAACACAGTAACTGGTAAACCTAGATGAAGTGTCCTTTGGGTATTCATGAAATCATTATTTAGAGGTTTTTTGTAGGTCTAACATTTTTTGAACTAAAAAATTGGGAGGAAAACACACTCTAGAAGAAAGGACCAGTGCAAGCAAGCGCTCAGAGGGCAATCTGGCAGTATCTGTCATAACTGTGATGCCCCTGAACCTGCAGTGCACTGCCAGGTTCCTGTTCTACGGGTCTCACTCCAGCGTGTGTTAAGACGTATAGATCTTCACTGTAAAACTGTCCTAACAAGAACCCAGAAAGAAAGCAACACCAACCAATATGGGGTTGGGTATATACACACACATACACATACGGTACACTACAACGTCGAGCAGTTTCTAAAAACAACAAGGTAGATCTGTAACCAGCCCCATGGAAATAAGCAGCTGCTCCACCGGAAGCTCCAGACAGCGGCTCAGGCAAGGCCCCAGGACGACTAATCTTTCAATTCACGGTGCTTCTGCAGGATAGAGAGAACTCAGACAGAGCAAGAGGCCAAAGCAAAGGGCAATCTACCCTTTCTAACATATCTACCAATGTCCTCTGAGGCGGGAGGGCTGGTGGAGGGGGAGCAGGCCCATCTCAAGTGCAGGTCAGGCCCCGGATACGCAGCCACACCATTGCTGGAATCCAAGGCTGACGAAGCAGCACCTGACAGAGGCCCTCATGGGACAAGGAAGAGGAGACTGGGGGTGGGGAGTGGAGACAGAAAAGGGGGCTGTCGGGGTATGTAGCCTGCAGGGGCTCCCAAGCAGGGTCCCTGCCTTTATGTACATGATCCTGAAGGCACATGGGGGGCCCTGTCACCCGAAAAGCAGTAGTGACCAAGAGCCAGAGAGACGTGGCTTTGAGTCCACTCTCTGCTACTAGCTATGCAACTCTGTGCTAAAAAAAAAGAGGGAGAACTATGACCTACCAGGTTGACCTCAGGATTAAATGAGGAAAACAGGTGGAAGAGGTCAGCAGGGAACATGTGCTCAGGAAAGCAAAGTGCACTCTGCCGGCCCTGCCCTGGACTGTCTTCCCTCTCCTCCCCTCTGTGTCCACACTTCCCAGTCCTGGGGCTGAGCCACTCTGTACCAGCCTCGGTCCTGGTCCTGGTCTCCGGGAAGTGTGGGGCCTTGGGTCTGCCAGCTACAACCTGACCTATCCCCACCAGCCTCCCTCCTGTGCCTCCAGGCAGCCCAGGGGCCCAAATGTTAGGAGGGTCCTAGGATTCCCCAACCTCGCTCTCCTCCCTGGGCCATCCCCTCCATGTTCTGAGAGTTCCTCTGTGGCTCCCTTCTACCTCTGGATGGCTCTATCCTCCCTCCACAGGCTCCCCTTCTTCCTCTTGACTTCTGGGGAGAAACCCCCTTCTCCGGGCTTCTATGCTGTGGGCTCATCAGCCTCCTCCCCTAGCCCTGGCCCTGTGACCCGACTGCAGGCTGGCCCTGCACACCTGTATGTCCTGCCCACCGTGCCACTCCTGCCTGGCTTCCCCATTCTTCACAGAATGGAAGTCCCCTCACCTCTGGGGCTCCTTATTCTCCTCCTCCAACTCAGTCAACTCCCCCTCAAGTCCCCCAACCAATCCTGCAACTGAGGAGTCTTCCGGATGTGCCCCTTTCCCCGTTTCTGCCACTAAACTAGTGCAGGCCCTCATGACTACGTTCCTATGCTAAGGAGACTGCCTCCTAACACGTTTCCCTGCCGCCAATCTCCCCAGCTGCCTCACCCATCCACCTGCCCACCGAGTCCACCCATTCATTCATCTATCCATCTTTCCACTCATCCACCCATTCCTCCCTCCCTCCCACCTACACTGAGCATTTACTCTCACACAGACACAGTCCCTGCCCTCAAGAAACTTTCAGTTTAATTACACTGCACATAATTTAACTTGCCTAAAACATAGCTACCTTCTTTTCCAATCTTATTCATTTTTGAATTAAAATACATCTTTTGAAAGAGGTAAATATACAGAGAGTGTATAAAATTCAGAGAGTATATTCTTTGGTTAGTGTTTGTATGTTGTCTCTTTTTAATCCCCTTTCAACTTTATATTTAAGGTGGGTCTATTGTAAGCAAAATACAGGTGAGTTTCCCCCCTCTCCAAATCTGGTTGGTAACTATAGTGAGCTGAATGGTGGTGCTCAAAAAGATATGTGCAAATCCTGATCCTCAATACCTGTGAATGTGACCTTACTTGGAAGAAGGGTCTTTGCAGATTTAATTCAGTTAAAGAGCTTGAGAAGAGATCATCCTGGATTAACCAGGTAGGCCCTAAATCTAATTACAAGTATCCTTAGGAGGGAGAGGAGAGCGGAAGACATGGGGCAAAGGAGGAGGCCTTGTGAAGACAGAAGCCTAGGAACCTGTGAAGCCATCAGAAGTGGAAAAGACAAGGAAAGTCCCCCCCCCCCCAGAGCCAATGGAGGGGCTGTGGCCCTGCTGGCACCTTGACCCTGGACTTTGGGCTTCCAGAACTGTGAGAGACTACATTTCTGTTGTGCTAAGCCAAGAAGTTTATGGTTATTTGACATCCCTAGAAAACTAATATGGCAAGTTTTTTCTTTTCTTAGGAAAAAATTCAGAATTCAAAACACTCCCTTCCATCTGAAACCCCAGTCCCTCAGTTTCCCTTCTCAGGGCTAACCACTGTCACCTGGACCTCGTATGTCCTTCCAAAGACG